TCTGCTGATGTTTTCTCTTTCTTCCGCATTTTCCTAACCTTTTCACATCCATTGATCCCGTTTCTCGTTTATGCCTCAAAATCTTGCTTATTACCTCCTGACTCACTCCACACGTTCTTGCAATTTTTCTTTGTGGCATAGAAGTGTGTTCACTTAGCGTGATAATCTTTTCACGCCTCCAAGGAGTAATTTCTATGATGGAATTAAACCAAACAAACTCACTAATTACCAAAAACAACACAAAATAGTACAAAACAACACGAACTTAGTGGGAGCTTCAAATAAAAGGCAGAGAAAAGTAAGGTTATGTTTTCAATGCTTGGTCAGTTGTAAATGTGTGGAGAGTGTTGCCAATTGTGAATATTGAAAAATGTCACAATGATTCCATTAATTCGCACCATAAATACTGTAGAAGAAAGGGAAGCTCCAGAATACAATGGCTGAGAGAAGTGGAACGTTAGGAAATAAAATTTTAATTAAAAAATGTATGAAAATCTCCAAGCAAACTCAAGGCCTTCGACGTCTGTAGCGCTATTATACATATTTAAAACTTTTTTGATATTGAAATTATCTGTCAAATAAATGTTTACTTTTGTATTGTTCAGAAGCTATTTTCTTGTGGCATTTTAAAGTAATTACTAATTAAATAGGAATAAGCCACAATTAAAGATTAAAGTATGTTTAAAGGAAAAGGAAAATTTTCCGAAGTGGAAATTGAAACGTCAATAAACGTACTTTAACCTTTAATTGTGGCTGATTCCCATTTAAATAGTAATTAGTTTACTTTTGTATTTAGTTTGGAACCTTAATTCAGTATTCACTTTATACGAATAATGCAACTAACAAGGAATTAATAAAAAAACTAGAAATAAAATAAATTTACAATCAACAAACATGTTGGCGAATAATTTACAATTTGGCCTGTTAACATGGCTTGGTTAATTTATACTAATAAAAAATAAATTAATACGAATTTGTCACTGTGCATCAACACGAATTATTATACCTTTAACTGAGGTTTAAATAAACAATGTGCTGGTGAAAAATAGACTGTGCAATAACTAATCATACGAGGGCAATTAATAATTAATGTTAAATATCACTTGAAAGTTGTCTTCAAATTAATATCGTGTAAATTTCTGTGTGAAGATACTTCATATCGTTTGCCAGCACGTTAATTTTAGTAAGGAATTTATTTAGGTACTAAAAGTGCTTATTTCATATGAAAAAGTATAATCATACATCTCGACGAGTTTAAAAATCTAATAATTTTTTTAGGTTCTCTAACCGATGACGAAATTTTATCTGCGACAGATACGAATGAAAAAAGTAACGATGAAGATGAGTACGATACATCAGAACCTTTGGCAGAGGTGTCAGGAAGTAAGATCCTCATTCGATACCTTACAAACCTTCTGTTTACAAAACGAAAGTGATAAAAAAGCATCTGAGACACTTTTTCTCTTAAAAAAAATTATTGAGTAGTCTGAGCAGCAGCAATGTGCTTTTAAGCAAACCATTATATTACAATTCTTTCGAAAGATTGATTAATTCACATTATGAATACATACATGTATATCCAATCAAATGTTTTTTTGAAGACCAGAAAAAACATTTTTGGGAAGTCATGAAGGTCATGAAAAATCGGCTTTTGGATTTAAAAAGAATAAAGAGCGCATTACATTTGCTGTTTGTTTAAATGCAGCAGGAACACACAAAATTCCTCTTTTCGTTGTTGGTAAGTCCGCTAAACCGCGTGCATTTAAAAATGTATATTCATCGTCCCTGGCCGTATTCTACAGATCACAAAAATCAACATGGATGAGCACTGATGTATTCAAAGAATGGTTTGAGCGTGAATTTGTTCCGAGAGTAACGCGCCATCTCAAGAGCGTAAAACTTCCCACTAAAGCAGTCCTACTTCTGGATAATGCTCCAACTCATCCAGGAAACCTAACATGTGAGACAGCTGACATAAAAATTATCTTTCTTCCTTCTAATGTGATGAGATTGGTGCAACCGATGGATCAAGGGGTGATTGAAAGCTTGAAAAGACGATACAGACGTAAATTACTGTCCGAAACTATACAATGCGCACAAAGTGAAGATCTCAATCTTATTGATATCATCAAAAAAATTAACTTAAAGGATGTAATTTACATGTTAGCTTCCACCTTCCAAGAAATTCCTGCTTCTACTTTCGTTAAGTCTTGGCGAAAACGTTGGGCCAACATTGAGGAACTTGCTGAGTGTCAACAATCACACGAAGTAGATAATTCTACCACCATTCTTCAAGATCTACAAACGTTATCCGAAAATGTCCAATTGTAGGCCGAAGATATTAAAGAATGGATGTAAGAATAAATAATTACACTAACAACATATGAAGAGCCCTATGTAAATGAGGAGACTGTTGATGATGATGTTGATGTCTTCAATAGATGTCTTGGTTTGTAAAAAATGGAGAGATATAGCTTTTAAAAATTCACTTAATGCCACAGAAGAAAGTTACCGATTTTTTTAAAACAAGTTTGTAAAATATTTTAATATGTATATGTACATAGAAATAAATAGTATTTTTCTACTGTATACTCTGTGATCTTTATTAATATACACCTTTCTGCGGCTCTGGTCCTGAGGTGGCCGGTTAATAGGGAGTCTACTGTATTGAATCGTCTGTTTAAATTTTTATGATACTTCTAGTTTTAAAATCATTTCATATAAATACAATTATTATTTTTAAACATCTTATTTAGTTTATATAATGACTAAATTTATTATAAAATGATATTTATTTACATTTCATTATTAATTTTATATTTCATATGAATTTGACAGGTTTGTCAGAAGTAAAAATCGCATGTGTTGTTAATATGTTGGCAGGCATAGCATCTTCTTTTTGCCATTTGTGTGACGTGAACTATAGTATAGATGCTTCATCTGGAATACTCATATCTCAGTCATTCGTTTTAGTTTAATTTGATGGTATAATGTAATCAAATTATGAACTGCATCTATATTTATGGTGTTAAGACACATAAATTGGCTTTCCTGATTGGTCTTTAGCTTCTATGGAGAATTTACCTCTCTTGCAGCTTGCAATTAATTTTTTCACTGACGCATATGAGGAATATTTGCCATTACAGCTATTAAAAATACATTTGCGAATCTGCTTATCTCTTAACCCCTTCAAGTGAAGGTACTTGATGACGACTTGATACTCCAATGATTATATTTTCATAATTTCGCTTGAAAACTTTTTTTCAAGCTGTATTGCGCAACTCTTCTTTGACTTTTTGGCTAAAAACTACACTGGCAAAATAACAACATAAATCATTCTGATTATTTACTTCAGAACTGAACAAATAAAATTAAGGAATATAATGAGCTGTAATTGCCAATAAAACAGAGGAATTAGAAAAATAAGCACAAAGATGTCAAGCTTCCTTTAAAATTCAAGAAAAGAAAAATTTAATAAGGTATAATTGCACATTGTATGAGTGTGTTTCATGATGAATGCCTAGGTCTTTCACAAACTGTGATTACCTTAGAAATCATCAAGATACTTTATGGAATCATTAAGGGAGACAATATAATCATATTTGCAAGAAAGCAAAAGCTCTCAACCAAGCTCAAACGACCAACAGATGATTCATATTAGAGAATCTTTGCTGGATAAACTGCTGAATACTGGCTCTGTAGTTTCAATTTTTCTAACTAGGAAATGTTTAGTATTTTGCCAATTGATGAAATAGAACTGCCGCTAACAAACCATGTAGACAAGCCTTAAAAAGTGCTGGAAAGCATTAGAAAGTGTTAATAAAGCTAAATAAATTGAATATAGTTGAAAATTACTAAAAACTGTTAATATGTGTTAGTGTTATGGCAAGTGATAAGTGATGAGGAATGTTAAAAAGTGATAAGAAGCATTTAAAATGACTTTAAAAGTCTTAAACTGTGTTGACACAAGAAAACAAGTGTTGAAAATAAAAGGTTGAAATGTATAAAGTGGTTAAAACTTTAATGATTGTAGAAAAGCATTGAATAATGTTGAAAAGCTTTAATAATTGTTGAAAAACATTGATGAGTGTTGGAAATCGTTCAAAATGAGCAGCGAATAATCATGCAGCAATAACTTTGCAGCTCTATTGGATCTTTTTGATGCTGATTCAACCACCTGGTCAGTCTTGCAAAAATTATATTTTATTAAGACAATGCTCCCATTACACAATTAAACCAATCAGGATATGAATTGATCCCATACCCCTTATATTCTGAATCTGTTTTGAATCTTCACAAAATTCCATTAAACTATTCTCAGAATTTAAACAAAATTATTTAATATAAGTGATGAAAGCTAAAAAACATATTAGCAAGAGTATTTGACAAAAAAAGATTTACAAATAATAAAAAAAATCATTTCTCCTTATTTTATTTAGATTAGATTAAAGTCATCTCAGCCTCCTATATCTTTTTCAATTTTTATAATTAATAATAAAAAGCATTTCTATTTATTACTTTATTCAGACAATATTATTTGTACTTTTTTAAATACTGTAGGAAACAGGTTTAAAAATTAATACCTAAAAACCAGTTGCATAAAATAAAAGCTTTGAGCTATTTGGAGATATTTTAATAAAATATTCTTGATGTGGGGTACAACTGCCTTATTTAATTCCTGACGATTTTATAGTAAAATATATGCTAACTATACTATTTAAGTAAACTTTACTAATTGTTATAAATAGGAATACCATTATTCTATAATGAATTTGTGAAACAATAAAAATACTGACATAGAAATTACACTTTACTTTACTTTTTTGTAGGATTCTGAAATTGATTACTATCATCTATCATAGTTCTGGTTCTATTAGAATTATTAAAATAAATTTGAAAACACTTATCTGAACCTGTTTCTTTAATAGTGTTATGATTTAAGTATTGAGGGTATCTAAAAATAAATATTCTACTATATAACAAATTTATGGAAATCTTACCTTGTTAGTGATTCTTTGTAGTCAAGATCATCAATTCCAAACCTTTCTCTGATATTTCTAAATACCATAGGACAATATTCTTTAACTTTGAAGTGTGATGGCATATTTTCTCTAAAATATAAAAACAGTATAACAATAATGCCTTTTGTGAGAGACTTAAGTACTTACTTATTGAAAAGGTGATTGTCGATTTTTATTTTCGAATAAGCTCTGAAGTCGTCCGGCAACAACATAACCGGAATTGTAACATGCATAAGTTCATTAATCTGAAAAAACAATAAACATTAGCCATCAAAGAATGTTTGGTAAATAAACAGAACTTACTGTATGATTTATACCCCACATGAAGACGGAAAGAAACGGTTCATTGGCTCTAAAAAGCTTTACTTTTTGATGTTTAACTCGAAAATGTTTCTTTTTTAGTTTAGAAAGACCAGGGACACTACTCATTTTGACAGTCAATTTTTTCAAAAGTTCGAACTGAAATTCTATACGATAATTTTCATTTTTTAAAACACTAACGACACGATAATAACTTTTTATATTTTCTCAATGTGCAATAACGTCTTAATTGTTCGTTCGGCTCCTAACTGAATAATTTTTTACACATCATTCGGAATAAATTAGGTACTTCAATACACACCTTCATTGATTAGTTCTCTGCAGTGTTGATAAATTTGTCTGTACTGGACCGGTGCGCTGTAGCCAGATTTCGACTTTAGGCAATTTTAAGGAAATTTTAAATTCTTTACATTTCAAGTTTTAATCTTTTTTTATTAAATTAGTAACTATGAAAAATGTTAATGTTTCGTGTAAGATTAAAATATTGATTATTTTTTTGTTTGACTAAATAATTTAACCCATTACATTTTTTGTACTAACAAAAATAAAAAAATATGCCTTAGATATTGACATTTCTTGTCATTTTGTCATTTGTATTGTATGTCAAAACATTTCGACATTGACATTCCTGGATTTTGAAATGTATAAACCAAAAAATAGATGAAGTTTTTTCTTGTTTATAAATAAAAATAAGTGATTACTGATACGAATGTGACACAATCGTATCTATTTAACATATTTCATTCATGGGTTAATAGGCCAACAAGTATTATACGTAAAAATCTAGGTTAATGTTTTTGTAGTTTGATCAATAACTTCCTTGACTATCCTATTTCAAAGTAAACTTCATAAATTTCTGGTAAACACACCCTTTAATTACGTCAACATGTGAAAAATAGGGCAAATATGTATATTTGATTCATATCACACACCCACATCGCTAAGAAAATTATTCAACTCTGGATACTCTTGTCCAGATTTTGTGGAGCCATTGTAAACAGAAATCGAGAAACTAAAGATGGTACGTGTAATATCAGTTCATCATTTTGCAAACCAACATATCCAAGTCATTGAACAGCCCACAGCATGCACTGTTGCACCTCCGAACAGACTCCTTTCAGCTTTAATGAGCAATTGTGTGGAAGTCAGAGATCTGAGTAATGAATCTGAAGTTTTATTTTCATTTCCAACTGTAGACGAGGTTGTCCAAATTGTACATTGTATAAATGGTAAGTACTTTTTATAATATATTTATTTTCAGTTATATTTTCATGTACCATTACATTGTAAATACTATAAGGTAGATAACATTACCTGCATATATATTGGATTATAGGCTTAAAACTAACTTAAAAGTATTTGCTACCAATTAGCAATTAATTTGTGTTAATTATAACAATTAAAAGTACTAATTGACATATTATTGTTGCTGCCATGTGTTTTATTTTGTATTGGCATCTTTATACTTTTATTTCTTGTTAGTTTTATAATTCAAAGTTATAATAGTAAATCATTGATTCATATGCAAATAATTTTTCAAGAATATACAGGTATTTCTTTATATTAAATTGATTATTTGTGACTACTGTTACTAGTATATTCTTTTGGAGTGGCTGAAGTTATTATTGTAAGCTCCTTCCCATGCAATTATCCCATAGCTAATTATACTATGAAACAAAGCATTATAAAACATTATCTCTATTCATAAATTCTGTACTCTGTTTTCTTTTAACAATTTGTGTCAACCATACCCAATATAGCAATATACCAAAAGGAATATATGAAACATACTACAGATGGATAGACTGTATGCTGAGAAGCCATGTGATATATGAACTCTCACCACAGTCTTCTCACAATTACTTATCTTTCCTCTTGTGAAATCTGATCATGGATAAGTTGATAGGTAGTTTTAGTATCAACAGGCATCAGAATTATTAATTCAATCAATCCTAATAATTATTCATTTTCATTACTATTCCAGGAGACTATGTGGCAACATTGGAAACTAAATTCAACCGTCAAAACAAGGAAATCAACTTTGTGCGTGTCTACATCAACTGGGATAGTATTGCCACACTTCAACAGTCTAAGATGACAAGCAGTGGTGTCAGCCTTGGGTCATCTGAGTGTGGTATGGTTCAACCCATGAGAGCAAGAATAGCAGGTCGTGTCACCCCTACCACTAATCAGTCAGAGCTGGGAAGTTTGGAAATGATAGAAGTTCCTGTTCGAAGGAATCCCAATTTTGTTGAATGCTGTCAAGTACGTATTTCCTTAATAATTATATTTGTATATAATTTCAGCAAGGTATGTATTATACATAAAATAATTAGAACAAAACACTGAAGTGAGAGTAGAAAATACAAATAAAACTACTAGAGTAGTGCAAATTTGCAAACCAAACCAGTGATTATTGTTTTAGATATCTGGGAACCTTCTGATATTGTCAGAAAAGATCATAAATATATACTCATTTAAAATAAAAACACATGATATTTCCAAAATGAGGTTTGTGGATTTTGAGGAACTGCCATTATTGATTGAACTATCTTTTGCACCTTATCATGTAGCATTCTGTGAAAACTATATTGCTTGTATGAGTAAAGACACATTTCATCTTTTTAAAGTATATGAGGCTGTCAAAAGGGAAGCCAGCGATTTGAACCTTTCTGGCCAAAATGACTTCACCTTTGTATGTAAGTATTCAATTAATATTCTTTTTAGAAACTGCTGCATTTACCATATTTATTAATAAATAGGGAGTAAGGGTAGATAGAATTTCCTTCATATATATAAGTTCAGAAATTTAACTGCTTTTTTTGATGTCCACAACTGGACACCATTTGTCACATATACACAACTGACTTAACACTATTTGTAATAAATAATTACTCATATGACATTATTCTTCCCACCTAATATACAATTATATGAAAGGGAGTGAAATAGAAAGGATTATACTCAATACAACAACACCTGTTTAGAATAATTCTAATCCTTTTTTGTTTTGTTTTATTGTTTTATTTTCTTTATAAATTTTTTTTTCCAATATATTTCTGGATATTAGACTGGGATACAAATTAGACATTCAGGGGTTACTCAGAGCATTTAGACGAAACGTGTTGACCTCAGATAGACTTAGGGCTTTAAACATAGGAAAAAATAACAAAAAACTGTTAGTTTTAATTCTAATCAATTTTTTTTTAGATGGTAACAATAGTGGTCCGGTTGATTATAAGAAATTATTAAGAGAAGAAATGTTGAGTAACAAAGAAAAAGTTACAGTCAATTTACCAACAATAGTTAAAGAAAACAGCATCATTCATAAAAGCAGCCCTTTTACATTTAGTGATAGAGATATTTCAGCAACGATTAGACCAAATTGTATTCTAGATGTAAGTAAATAATTTATATTAAAAAAGTAAATATATTTGCTTTTATTTCAGTCTCTTTTTAAACTTTATATCATATTGAGGGAGGATAATAAATCACTATAAAGTGATTATTTCTTTCAGTGACACTTTATTGTATAAACTTTTTATAATCAATGTGTACTGTAACTAGTTCACCAGAAACCGCACAGAATGTGATGAATCTTAGAGCAAGTCAGGATCCACAGAAGATTGTCGTGCTAAAGATGGTGATGTTAACTAGAGAACTAACTAGTAAACTGACTGTTTCAGCTAAAAATATTAAAATAAAGACATTTCTTATAAAAAATATCAGTTTTTGCAAAATAACCTACAAATAAACTATAAATAAATTTTTTTTTTAAATAATCCTTTATAAAATTTTTATATATATTTTAAAAAGACCCTTTGGGGTTACATCAGAACCTTTTCGACTAACAAGTTCATCATCAGTGTTGTTACAAGGTGTACATGAGTGAAGTCACTAAATATGTGGTAAAGCCCTTTAAATGATATTAAATGTGATATATAGCATATCATTGCTGATAAACTTATATTTATGTTGAAGTTTTAAACAAATTTACATCATGGCAACGGAAGACTACCACTTAAGGTTGCTGATACTGAGACATAGTTTCTATATGAACCTTAGGTAACAACACATTTTTGTCACTGGTCATGTACCACATTTCGGCACGCTTACTCTCTAAGTTTGTTGATTTTTTCTAAAATTATATTTGTTGCATTAAAAGTTGCAAGGGGCCGCATGGGGCCCGCGGGACACAGGTTTTTGACTCTTGGACTAAAGCAATACAACCTCTCTATTCTATTCAGTCTTTTAGGGGACAAGGAAAACAACTAAAGGAAATTTAGATCAAACTGCAATGTAAATATTTACAGAAAGTATTCACTTTGTTTTTCATTTATAATTGGACTTTATAACTCTCTCTCGCTACCAAATAAAGTGTAGTTAGTTTAGATCTTGTTAAATAAATACAGTTTCCTTCAAAATAAAAATTCTGTTTATAATTTTCTTGGCATATACTTCAAGAACACAGAACTAAACAATAAAACAGTTCTTATTTACTGACTTACTGTAAAATTTTGGTTTTAGAATAAAAACACTCAGTATAGAATAGAAAACTTAATTCAACTAAGACTTATGCCTATATTGATAGAAAGTGCCCAGAGACAAGTCGCAGAAGAATTCAAAAGCATGGTTATGAAACCTATCTACGTCGATCACACTTTGAATGGCACGAAAGATAATCCGGAGAAAAAATTTCTACGTAGTGACTATGATAAATGTCTAAACAGCGTAGTATGTATTATAGCCACGCAACAAGAAGGATATTTATATAATTTTGATGATAAAGGTTGGTATTTACACTTAAACTATTACAAGGTATGTAAAATTTCTGGTATGTTTTATGCAATGTACCCAGAAAGTTTCATTACAAAAGAAAACTGAAAATTCTAGTAGGCATTTTGTACCATTTATTCTATCAGATGTATTATCCCACAATTTTATATATTTATGGCTATACTAATTGTATTCCGAGGCATAATCGAATCAAATAACCTAACCTAAAAATTTTTTTTGGCTCTGAATCATTTGATTTGGTTTTAGTTTATTTATGATATGATGTAATACATAAGGTACTTTGGTAGGCTTTATCGTAAGTTATTACCCTTCTTTGTTTTTTTAAGATGATATAAGATTTACTGATTTGTCTTGAGATAGTATTTTGTATAACAGGAAAATGTTGTTTCGAGTGCTTGTGGTGCTATTGAGACTATTGTAATACCAATAAAAAATTACTTTTTCTTTGGTAATGAAAATTTAACACTATTGTTGATATACTGGTTACATCTTTTACATACCAACCCATTATAGTGAGTAAATTTAAATCACAATGCTATGTATATAATTTTTAGAAGCTTGCACCAACAAAGACAACTGCCTCGCTGTGTATCCATTTACGGCACCCGTTTTTAAATTAGTCATGGAAGAATATTTTTTGCACGCATTAACAGAAACAGGTTTAGAGTCGTACACTTTGAGATATGGGCATCAGATGTGTAGAAATATTGAAGTTATCGATAATATAAATGTGGTAAGTACTTTATTGTCTTCCCCATAAGAGCATTTATGACTAAATATTGTCACAGCTTCACCTCTAAGGGACAATGATTGAAATTTACATATCCAAAGTAAAACTTAGCAAGTGTCAAGTTTTCAACTCCTTTTTTTGGAGTTTTCAGCAGGACCCTTTTTGGGACTTACTGAGTCACTAGTTTGCCTTATGACTACACTCATTGCTTCTGTCCATTGTACTATTATAAAGAGCAGTTCAGTGTTTTATAAATGTAGTTAATGATCTATATCAACATAAACGTTTTTAAAAGTTTTGGCCGTTTTTTGATATAATTTTCTATGTAGCAAACATCAATCATGAAGTTAACATGGCTAACATGGCTCACCAGAATTGTAGTTTGCTTAATACTTAGTTTGCATTAATTAATGGCAATATTTTTTGTAGGCATGTCCACCAGTATCCGAATCCATCTGTTTGGTGGGCCTAAGACCGTTTTTGGGCGTAGAACAAATTCTCCTAACCGAAAATCACATGGTTTTGTTGGCAAATTCGGAAACATCGCCTGCACATTCGGCAAGTTCTAATAGTAGTTCAAATGCATCGTTTTTAACACTATACAACCTGGAACTACCGTCACCAAGGATGATTTTCAATGATATTTCCATTGTGGCCAATGTTCACAGGTAAGTAAGAGAACTTTTAAAGTAGACATTAAGTTTTGTCTGCGTCAGTTTTTTGTTTGGGAGCTTAGGAACTTAAAGGTCTATTTGATTGATCAGCATTGCTTTTAGTAGAGCTTTAACATATGTTCGAATATTTAGATATTTGTGGAGGAACAGGAGACGGCGTAATGAAGCAGGATTACGGAGCAGAAGACCAGTAACTGCAACACTGCTCATCAGAAAATGTTGAGTTGCTAAATTTGGCTAGAGCAAACTGGACTAATGATACTAGAAACAACATTGGTTCTAAAAATACAAATACTCAGAAGTGTTTGGGGAAGAATATCAGACTGTGATATATCTCCAAGACGTTTGCTTTATTTATCAGTGACAACTTCCACAACATACCTAACCATATCTAACCTTCGACAAAATATTGCTGTACAAGTAATGGGCTGCCTTTGCCATGTAAATATTCAAGTTATTGTGTGGCCACCTAAAAAACCAGAGCTGAATCACGTTGAGCATCGGTGAAAATTTACTTATTTGGTCAATTAGACGCCTCATAGCCATTTTAACAACTTTTACGGCTAAATAGGAACATTTTCCACCAACCACCATCAGCAAATTAATTTGTTAGTCAAGTTAATTAGCAAATTAAGTTTTTTTATATTTTTGCCAACTACAAATGATCATTTTTTACATTTCTATACAGTAGTCATATACTTAAATATTAAATATGCTATATTTTCAGGTTTACTTCAGTTCAAACTTACTGTCATTTGATGAGCGAGGCCCATATGGTACTACGCGTGGTACTTCTTTTGAAGAAATGGATAATGACAGATGATAACGTAAAGTTGGCAATATGCAGGAAATATAATAAAGATGACGTTGTCGAAACGTATCGAACGTCTTGTGCTTTGTTGGGGGATCATTTCATCATGTAAGTTAAGTAAAAATATGTGATTAATTAAATTAAGTCGTACTTGAACTAAACTGAAATATGCCAAATATTAAAAACAACTGGCAGTGTGATGTGGTGCTAGTTACCAAAGTGGCCGGTTCTTCTTAATTTACCAGTTAGACGAATACTCATTTACACAGGAGACTAAAAGTGCAAATTTTTTTATCACAATTTTGTATTGTCTTATTTTTGTCAGAGAATAATCATTTTGCTCATTCTCTTCCTTCCGCTATTCTTATCTCTTTCTTTTTCTCCCTTTCTCTTTCCCTCCTTTTCTCCTCCACTTCCCTGTAATGTCCTCGCTTCTCATTCGTTCTTTTTTATTTCAGTCTTTTTCTCCCTTTTACTTTCCGTCTTTTTCTCCTCCTTGTGATGTCCTCATTTCCCCTCTCATTCTCTATTTTTTATTGATCTTTCACTAGCTCCCCTCACTGTCTCACTCCTTGTTTCCACCTTGCTCTCTCTTCCCTTAGCACTCTCATCTCTTTCTTTAGCACTCCCTTTTTCTTCCTCTCCCTCGTTCTACTCTTCTCTAGCTGTATCGTTCCCTACATCTATCTCTCTTCCTTTAAATGCCACGTTCCTTTCTGGTTTTCACGATAAAAAGTACAATACAATCATTCCCAAGAAACTATTTTTTTGTATTATATCATTTTTGTCTTAGAATAATCATTGTTCCCTCTTCTCTATCCTCCTCTTTTCTTCCATTTTGCTCATCCTCTCCCTCCCGCCATCCTTATCTTTTTCTTTTCTCACTTTCACTTTTCCACTTTTCTCCTCTATTTCCATGATTTCCTCCTTCCCATCTCATTCTCTCTTTTTTATTTCTCTTTCACTAGCCCCCTCTCTTCCCTCACTGCCTCACCCCTTTTCACCTTCTTATTCTATCTTCCCTGATCACTCTTCTCCCTTTCTCTCTAGCACTCCCCTTTTCAACCTCTCCCTCGTTTTTTCTCCTCTTCTTTATCTCTGTCTCGTTCCCTCCTCTCTTTCCCTCCTCGATATCTCTTCCTTAAACTACAACGTTGTTCTCTCGTTATCACTCTACCACTTCCCCTCAGTTTCTCCCATTCTCTCTCTGTCTTTTTCCCTATCTCCCTCCCTTCTATTCCCCTCGTTTACTCTCTTTGCAACTTCTTACTTTCTGTTCATTTTTCTCTCACTTTCACTATTACCTTTACTTCTCTCCTTCCTAATCCTATTTCCTTCCCTCTACCCCCCACTCCTACCTCACTCGCTGCTTTTTTTTTATCTCAAAATTGAAGGTTTTCATATAACAAAAATATCAAAACTGATATAGTATGATTTATGTTTGTTTTATAATATGGAAATGCTTTTAGGTGTAACTACGAAGATGATTATGTTCTGGCGGTTCCGTATTATAAAATGGCCAGGGTAATACTGGGGGAAGTTTTAGTGAGGGTAAAAAAACTACAGGAACAATCTGGAAATCAAGTAAGTGTTTTGTATAGTGTGTCCAAGGAGAAAGTTTACATTTTCACATTTATTGTATTAAAATCTTAAAAAATTCAGCGGATTTTACGTTTTTTTAAATGAAAATTTTAAATAATGACCACTATTCACTTATATACATCTTCTATTCGGCAGCGCAACCTTACGAACAATTTGTCGCAGAGTTACTGTGAAATGTTCTTAATTCCATGTCAAATAAACTTTTGATTTTAGATAGCCTCACATAAAAAAATGCATATGGCGAAGTGGCGTTGTCTAGCTGGCCAAATTGTGTCTTCATAATTCTTAAATACCTGTACACCATTTTTCCATTGCTGTCATAATTTTTCTAAATCAGATCTATTTCCACAATAGAGTAAAAAGGTTTCAATAACGTGCTGCATCAATCAATCAAAATTTATTTTGGTATTATGACGATTTTGGTTTTCAATGAAAAATAATCCGTTATGCCACTGGAGTTTTGGTTTGGCTCATATATTTCACCAGATATTTTGTATTTTTTTAGCTCTTGAAAATAATTGTAAACACAATTGAAAGCTTGAATATAAAGAATAGTTACCTAATAGCCCCTTTTTATTGACTCCAACCCATCCAAACATATTTATATATTTTTTTCCAAACGAGTCACAAGTACTTCTTTTTTCTTATACATATAAAAGGTCTATTAAGTCGGAAAAAAGTTCTGCATATTCTAACAACTAAAATATTGAAATTTAATCAAATAATAAATTTCTCACATATATTTATTTTAGTTTAAAAAAGGACTGATGTACTACTTGAAGAAAACACTATATTACGTGAAACCCGGTCCAGACGCGGACAAAATTTTCGGTTCCAGTTCAAAGCAGAATTTGTCGGAATCAATCATGAATTACTTGGAACACCACGCTTGTGAAGATGTTCCGAACTTGATTTTGAGAAGTAAAATATTTAGAGAGTATTCGACGGACAAGTTAATCCATATTTTGACGGAAAAAATATCAGAGTAAGTAATTATCCTTTTTTTCTTTACATAATATAATATTCATTCATCCATTAAAAACATGTAACGAAGTTTTATGCTAGAACAACAAAAAATGCCTAAACACTGGACTGAAGAAGGAGAAAAAAGCTACTGATGTATCCTTTTTATAAACAAAAGGGAGTTTTACACTCTCTCTTGTCGTTTCCTCATTGCTGAGGATCGTGATTCCCTACAATACGGGCTGTCAATTCTCTCCATCTCTTGCGATTTTGGGCTACTCTCATGGACTCGGAAAACGTCTCTCCAGTGGCTTTCTGTACTTGATCTGACCATCGGATAGGTGAGCGTCCTCGGCCTCTACGTCCTTCTACGTTTCCGCACACATTAGTCTTTCTAAGTTGTCATTGTCTCTTCTCGCAATGTGGCCAAAAAACTTTAAAACATTTTGCAAGACACTGAGAGGAGAGTCTGGTCTGAATGTTTAGCTCTTCTAGAATCGACTGATTGGATCTGTGCTCCGTCCACGAGACGCGTAGCATTCGTCTCCAGCACCACATTTCGAATGCGTCAATCCTTTTCCTATCCTCTGATTTTATTGTCCATGTTTCGGCACCGTAACTAAAGATTGAAAAAACGAGTGTCCGTACCAGTCTCATTTTGAGTTTTTTGGACAAAGAGCGGTCCTTCCATATTTTTGACAGTCGACTCATCGCGTTCTTGGCCATTCCTATTCTTCTGCGAATTTCCGTATGGCAGGAGGCTGCATTGCTTAAGGAAGATCCTAGATACGTGAACTCGTCTACTTTCTCGAATTGATTTAGGGCGCCTGTTGTTTGGAGGATATTCGCGTGGTCCACAATCATGATTTTTGTTTTCTGATTATTAATCTTGAGCCCACAATTGTTTTACACAAAGTTTTACACAAAGAACTGTAACGATGAGTCCAAGCCATCACCGTTAAACCAGCGTGCGCGCGAACCAACCCATGAAGTAGGAGTGTATCGACAGTAGAAAGGGCAAATCTTTGCTATATAAACCGCATTATTTCCTCATAGAGGCAGAATCGTCAGGTGTTGACTGAAGGTTCTCTTCTCCCCTACCCCGGCTTGTGGACGTGTTGAGTTCACAAGTTGTTTCCGTTCCATACCGCCGTTATCCGGAGAGCGTGTTGAGCTCTCCACTACCCGTACTCCGAAGCAGTCGTGTTGAGACTGTCGAGGAGTGTCCTATTAACCCGAATCACTTGAGGGACGTGTTGAGTTTCTTTCTTTCCTTTGTACCTATCGTCCGCTGTTATTAAATCGACACATCGTTCACGTAAAATTCCGAAAACACACTTGATTGCCGATAACACTAATTTCATACGACAAGGTCAAACTTAATTTGAATAAATAGGCCAGGTACTGAGAAGACTAAACTAAATTGTAAATATGTACATAAGATTTTTGTCAATTTAATTTAAGGAAGACAATAAAGTTTTATTTTTATTTTGAACTCTGTCTCTGACTGTCCAAAAGCTACCCGGATAGTGACTCCTACGAGAGGACGTCACAGAACAATAATAAAGTCCGGATTCAGTCTGGTAGAGGTATCTTAGTCGGGGTTCGACATTGCTAGACTACAGAAGATAAGCGAGTGAGATGGAGAAAGAAACGCAAAAGAGAAGAGAATTGGCAAAAAGACAGAGAATTATACCTGTTCTTAGAAGTAAAGGGTTAGTGGAGAGATAAACACACGAGCCATTGACTTCTTTCTGAGAAGGGAAAGGATCACAAGAGAACCATAACTTGCCCTCGATATGCCAATTAGAAAGCGTAGCATGGTTTTTCTAAGGATTTGTTAGCCATGGGCGTATCTAAAAGAATCTTGTGAGGGCAAAAATTTAGAAGAATTTGTGGGATCATTGAACATGCTTCAATATGTCTAGTGGTTAGGATAGTAAAGATCTACATAATAAGAAAAATCTAATTAAATTTTTAATAACTTTAGTTTTGAAACAAACAATACTAGTCCATTCTAAACTATATCATTTGTATCTGTATTTATTAATTTTTGTGTATACTTTTTAGAAATTTTGGCGTTTCAGCGGAAAAACACCTCGCACTGACGCTCCTTTATATTCAAAAATGCAACACGACTATGGCACAAGACCACTTGGACAAAATCACCAGAGAAAACCTGCGATTGCTTATTTTGGAAAATTACGATCTCCTCTTTGAAACCACGTACCCTCCGCAACATAAAAATAAGTCAGTCACCACATTTTCTGAATTGACGATACTCCTTATTAGCATTTGCCCGGAATTACTCTCTTCGGTCTTTGTGAATCTCATGATGGACAAGAAAGTTATAAATTTAAACAAAATAATCAAAGTAAGTAATATTCAAAGATTCATATATAAGAGTGGATTGATAGTAATCTAGGATAAATAAGAAAATCTACCGTTTTTGCCATTTTTGATCCTTTCCGACTATTTTTTTTTTCAGTAATCTTGAAAAGACGTTTACGAAAAGTAATTTTGCCCTAGCTCACCAAAATAGTGTGATGTTTTAGTTAAGACTTCAGTATTCATTACAAAAGGGCGCTGTATGGACAATTTTTAAAGTTTGTTAACAGGAAAGGATTAAACGGGACTAAATCTGGCTACTACGGTGGATGGTTGATCAATTTTTATCACAATTGGTGTAATCTTACCTGTGCAACGGTCTTGTTGTCGACGTATCCGTTGTCTTGATAAAAAATAATTTTTTTTCGAAACAAATTCTAGTTTTCTCTTCAAGTCGGTGTCAAAATGGTTCAAGACAGCTTCATAATACACGTCAAATGTTGCTGTACACGTCAATGAAAGCTCTAATTGAGTTACTAAACAATTTTATTCATTTAACCTTCCAAAATAATATGGAATGGAAATTTTGGACCGTCACTGTTCAATTTTATGTCATTTATTTTTCATATTTAGTCTTTTTTTTCTTCATGCATTGAATATTGATATGTTTACCTCTTCATAAAACTAATACCCCATTAACGGTGAGTTTTAATTCCGTTGTAGGACTTTAAACGCTATACAATGAACTCTCTCTTAATGTACACCCTCTATACGGGAGTTTTTGAAACAAAAATCGTTCGGTTGTACTACCCTAGGAAAAGTACAGGGCAAAAGATCAGTAGGAAGACGCCAGAACTCATGGCTGAATACCCGAGGAGATAGTTCGACCGCTCATCCGCAGAAATCTATCTCGCAGCAGTTTCCAAACCCACAATTGCCATTTGGATTGCCAACATTCGAAAGGAGACGGCGCTATGAGAAGAAGAATATTACCCTTTACATTTAAATCTTCCTTAAATGGGCACGGGCAGTAAATTATGTTCACAGATAATTCTAACGGACAAATGCTTTAGTATTTTCGTACAAATATCGGCGCCCAACGTGGGGAATGTGTAACAAAAATCAGCTACCTAGATAGTTGAGTGCCAACTATTTAAAAAAAATAGTAAAACAGAATATTAACAAATACATAGAATCAAAAGAAATTAGACTAAAATAATTATTTGAAGAAAAATAACAAACATGTGACGTTTATAACCTTACAAGTTAAGTGAACCTTCTCTAACTCAACTGAACCGTATTGATGATGGTCAATAAGCCAGAAATATATATTTACGGTTGTGTGTCATGCTTTTATCCATTTTTTTTATTAGTTTTTGTGCGATCTATGCCATTAGCCTATGCTTTTATTTGTTCCAAGTCCGTAGACTATAGTGTTAGGATTTTTATGTTTCAATGTTTTTGTACTCAGCAGTTGGTACAACTGATTTTATAAAAAAGAAGAAGTTTGACTTGACATATAATATATATATGACAGATGTATCCATGTGTGAAAAATAAAAAACAAAAAGTAAAAATCTTTATTCATCATACAATCCAATACCCTATGGAGTACAAAAAACACAACATTTGTTGATCCTTCGAGCGTGATACATCCAGAAACAGCTGTTTTCAAAAAATATCCACAAGAACTTATAAAAATTCAGATTGAAGTCTTCTACATATACACACACACACACAGGAGGTAATCGTAAGTCATTCATTCTATTTCCTATTTTACCTTACTGATTATCCAACCTATTATTCACAATTTAGAGGCTTTAATCAATAATCATGTCTGATTTAGCAAAATGTGTTAGAACTAGGGGTTCAGTTAAAAAGCGGTTAACTTTGGTAGAAAAGTTTATAGATGTTATAAAAACATCAGAACCAGATAGGAAACCTTCATTAACTGATGCTACAATTAGAATTAACGAATTAGAGTTAATAGATAAAGACTTTGAAAGCATTCAATTAGAAATAGAGGTAAATTGTCCTGAACAACAACTTGAGGAGAACTATAAGGAGAGAGAACAATTTAAAAAGCGGTATTATGATACTCTAAGTTTTCTTAAGACATACATAGAAAGTATGTCTGCAAATCAAACTAGTAACAATTCATTAAGTTGTAATAGTTCTAATAAAGATCCATTACAAAATATTATTTTACCTAAAATTAAACTTCAAATGTTTAAAGGTGATTATGACAGTTGGCTGGAGTTTAAAAGTAATTACCTTTCAACAATACATGAAAATGCATCATTGACACATTCTCAAAAATTTTCTTTATTGAGAGCATCACTAGAAGGTTATGCAAAAAGTTTAATTGATCAAATTCCATTCACTGATAATTTATATCAAGAAGCTTGGAACACATTATTAGACAGGTTTGACAAAAAGTATTTTTTAGTAGATAGTCATTTAAATTCAATTCTTAACATAGAGCATTGTTCTAAAGAATCCTCAACCAGTTTTCGTAGACTATTAGACAATGTATCAAAAAATCTTGTATCTTTACAAAACATAGGTATTAGTAAAGACCAGTTGTGGGATTTTCTAATTATACATTTAGTTTCATCAAAATTAGATAAAAATACTTTTAGAGAGTGGAAAGAGAAAAAATTTAGTGGTGAACTTCCTAACATGGAGGAATTCTTAGAATTTCTTAAATCAAAAGCAGACATATTGGAAATCATACACAACACTACAAATGTAAACATTAATCCTAGTTCTAATATAAAACCAAACAAAACAAAAAATCATTCACATTTTAATTTAGCAATTTCCAGCCATAACTCAAATAATAATTACAAAAAATGTAATTTTTGTAAAAAGAATAACCATACAATATACAGTTGCTCTGATTTCTTAAAGCTAAATATCAATCAAAGAAAAGAATCAATTTCACAACTACAGTTGTGTGTAAACTGTCTGAGGACAGGACATAAGGTTGAATCATGCTATTTAGGGCCTTGCAAAATTTGCAATGTAAAACATAATTCATTAATTCATGAACAATCCAATAATCCAACATCTACCAATTTATTCATACAACCTCAACATTCAAATACACAAATTCTATTATCCACTGTAGGCTTTTATGTAAAAGATACGGTAGGCAACCAACATTACTGTCGAGCTCTATTAGACAGTGGTTCACAAAACAATTTAATTACACAAGGGTTTTGCAATAAAATTGACATACCTTTAATAGATTCAAAACTATCCATAGTTGGAATTAATCAAGTAACATCACATTTATCAAAAAAATGCAATTTGACTATTTTTTCTAAAATTGACAATTATCAAACAACAATTTCATGTTATGTGATTTCCAACATATGCAGTGAAATACCTGCAGAAAAACTAATCCACCCATCTTTAATTATCCCTAAAAATATTCAATTATCAGATGAACAATTTTTTGAACCTGGAGAGATTGATATGCTTATAGGTGCAGATCTTTTTTGGGACCTTCTAACAGAAGGAAAAATATATCTTGGTAACGGGTTACCTATTTTACAAAATACTAAACTAGGCTGGGTTGTTTCAGGAAAAAGTCCTGTATCAACTTCATTATCCAGATGCAATTTTGCAAACACAATTTATTCAGAAGATGCTCAATTAAAAAGATTTTGGGAACTAGAAGAAGTACCTGTAAATTCAGTCTTGCCAAAAGATGAATCAGATTGTGAAAATCATTTTCACAAAAATACTACTAGAAATGAAGAGGGTCGTTTTGTAGTAAAGTTATCATTAAAACTATCTCCTGATGTATTAGGGGATTCATTCAATGCAGCTTGTACCAGGTTTGTAAATCTAGAAAAAAGATTTAATCAAAACAACAATTTTCAAATTCAATATTCACAATTTATTAAAGAATATATTTCCTTAAATCATATGACTAAGATAGATATGTCACAAGATAATCCTAATAAAACATACTATTATTTACCACATCATGGTGTTCTCAAAGAAGAAAGTCTCACAACAAAACTACGTGTAGTTTTTGATGGTAGCTGTGCTTCTTCTACAGGCTACTCATTAAACGATTTACAATACATTGGTCCAAAAGTCCAAAATGATATTATCAGTATTTTACTAAGATTTAGAATGTTTAGATATGTAATTTCTGCAGACATTACAAAAATGTATAGACAAATTTTAATTCACAATGATCATAAGTCATTACAAAGAATTGTTTGGAGAGATAATCCAGAACAAGACCTTTCAGTTTATGAGCTAAATACAGTGACTTATGGAACAACTTCAGCTCCATATTTAGCAATAAAATGTTTACAAACATTAGCTCAAGAACATATAAATTCATTTCCATTAGCATCACAAACAATTCTAAAAGACTTTTATGTAGATGATCTACTCACTGGTTCTAATAGTATCTCTGAATTAATTCAAACATGTCAAGAAGTCTCATTCATTCTAAATTCTGCTGGATTTCCTCTAAGAAAATGGACTTCTAACAATCCAAATGTTCTTCAAACCATTTCCAGTAATGATGATTCATTAGCCATATTAAAATTAGGACAAAATGATGCTTCAAAAACATTAGGTATTTACTGGTACAGTCAATTAGATGTTTTAAAATATTCAATTAATAAAAATATTTATCCATTAACGAGTTCACTTACAAAAAGACAGGTACTCTCAGATATAGCACAAATTTATGATCCATTAGGTTTAATCAGCCCTTGTATAATTATAGGAAAAATAATGATACAAAAATTATGGTCATTAAACATGGCATGGGATGAACCCATTCCAGATGATCTATCTTTACAATGGCAACAGTTTAGAACTGAATTGTCAGAATTAAATCAATTATCCATTCCTAGATATGTTATAAAAAATGAGTATAAATTGATAGAGATCCATGGTTTTTGTGATGCTTCTCGTGATGCATATGCTGCATGCATTTTTGCACGCAGTTCAAATTCGCAAGGAGAATTTCATGTACAACTATTATGCTCGAAAACTAAGGTGGCACCACTTAAGTCATTAACAATTCCAAGATTGGAATTATGTGCAGCCTTATTACTTGCACAATTATCTATTCAAGTAAAAACATCACTATTCAATCTTCCTAATGATATACCATTTTATTATTGGTCTGATTCACAAGTGGTGCTCTGTTGGTTAAAAACAGATCCAAACTCTCTAGAAATTTTTGTGGGCAATAGAGTGGCAAAAATTCAAAATTTAACTTCTATCTCAAATTGGAGTTATACTAATACAAAAACAAATCCTGCTGATGTTGCCTCCAGAGGCATACTACCAAACAAATTAAAATACCACCATATATGGTGGACAGGGCCAGAGTTTTTATGTGAACCAAACAGTCAATGGCCTCAATATTCATTTAATATATCCAAATCAAAATTACCAGAATTAAAAAGGATTCCAACAACAATTCTTTCAAATATTTCTGTCAATTCGTTAGAAATATTTACAAAGTTTTCTAGTTATTTAAAGTTAGTCAGAACAATTGCATATTGTAAAAGATTTATTCATAATTCAAAAAATAAAACCAATCAATACTTGGGTCCGTTACAAGCAATTGAAGTTGATCAAGCACTGCTAACATTAATCAAACTAGCTCAAAAGGATTCATTTAATGACACATTAATTCTTTTGTCTCATAAACCATTACCTCGTAACCATAAATTATCTTCTTTATGTCCTTTTTTGGATGAGCAAGGTATTCTTCGTGTAGGGGGACGATTAAAATATACTAATTTACAAACAAATATTAAACATCCTATCCTTATATCTTCAAATCATCCATTTACTAAACTAATTTTTATTCATAAACATAACTATTTATTACATCCAGGGCCGCAATTACTATTGGCAACAGTCAGACAAAAATATTGGCCTATTGGGGGGAAAATTCTTGCAAAAAAAATTGTCAAGAATTGTATTCAGTGTTTTAGACACAAACCAGTTGCATCCATTGCCCCTATGGGTAGCTTACCTAATAATAGAATTTCACCATCTTTTCCATTTCAAGTCACTGGAATAGATTATGCCGGTCCATATAACATAAAAGACAGAAAGGGAAGAGGTGCAAAAACAACAAAAGGTTACATTTGTGTGTTTGTATGCTTTGTAACTAAAGCTATTCACCTTGAGCTCATTTCAGATATGACAACAGAATGTTTTATAGCATGTCTGCGAAGATTTGTTTCACGTCGGGGAATACCCAACCACATTTATTCTGATAATGGTAAAACATTTCAAGGTGCATATAACGAACTCAATGAATTGTACAAGTTTATTCAAAATAATCATAATACATTAATAGATTATGCAACTAGCAATAATATAAGTTGGCATTTTTCTCCTCCTTACAGTCCTAACTTTGGTGGGTTATGGGAAGCTGCAGTTAAATCAATGAAACATCATCTTAAAAGAACTCTGTTAAATTCTATTTTAACCTATGAAGAGTTTTTAACACTCATAATTCAAATTGAAGGCATTCTAAATTCAAGACCGCTCTATGCAATTTCAGATGACCCAAATGATTACGAGCCTCTGACTCCTTCCCACTTCCTTTTGGGCCATCCTATTACTTCTCTTCCTTCCTTAGACTTACTGGAAGTAGCAGAAAATAGAACCACAAGACTTCAAGCTGTTCAACGTTTGCAACAACAGTTTTGGAATCGATTTTCAAAAGAATACATCAGCCAGCTCCATCAACTATATAAATGGAAGTCTCCACAGTCAAAACTCTCAGTTGGGAGTCTGGTATTAATCCGTAATGACCACTTACCACCACAAAAATGGCAACTAGGTCGAATTTTGCAGCTGATTCCTGGTCCAGATGGTATTCATCGAGTATCCCTTGTGTCCACTACAAAAGGTGTCCTAAAACGATCTGTGAGACATCTACATCCACTACCTCTCCAAGATGAAGCTTCAAGTGAAAATTAATAAAGACAATTATCGTGAAATACACATTATTTATATTTTGAAGGTTCCCTTCAAAGGGGGGCTATGTTAGGATTTTTATGTTTTAATGTTTTTGTACTCAGCAGTTGGTACAACTGATTTTATAAAAAAGAAGAAGAAGTTTGACTTGACATATAATATATATATGACAGATGTATCCATGTGTGAAAAATAAAAAACAAAAAGTAAAAATCTTTATTCATCATACAATCCAATACCCTATGGAGTACAAAAAACACAACATATAGTTTATCTTAATTTGTAAAAGTATGTTACAGTACTATGTCAAATAATGGAATCATATGCTGTTTTAATGAAAAAACAGAAAAAAATTATATTTTGGCAAAACTATAAAAGGAAACTTACATCATTTAGTAGGAAATACGCCCCCCTTTGGCTGCAATTACTGCTTTTAACCATTTTGGTATATATTCTACGAGTTGCGGACAGTTCAAAGATATCCCTTCATCTGCCCTTCATCTGGCCACTTCTATCATTTTTATTTTTGTAGTACAGTTGATTTTGTGCAATCTAGCTTTGCAAAAGGCCCATAAATTTTCAGTGGGGTTGAGGTCTGGCAAATTACCGGGCCAATCTAAAACATTAATCTTCGTATTTTTGAAAAATTCCATCATTAGCTTTGACTTGTGACAGGGAGCAGTCTTGTTGAAGAGTCGCTCCTCCTTGGGGCTAACATTTTCGGAGTTCTGTGTCCAAATGCTGTTCCAACATGGATTTTTATTTTTGGCTGTTCATCATGCCTTCGATTGGTGCCAAAAATTCAAGCCTCATCTCACCCTCAAAACATTTTTTTGACTGCAGTCGTCTACTGTTCAATTAGAGTATTTGTTGTCCCACAATAGGCTTTGTTTCTTCATTCGTTCAGTTAGAAGCTGTTTTTTCTGTGGACGAATTGCCCTTCTACCATTCTCCAAACGTCTTTTCCGAACAGTTGAGTCATGAATCACTACACCTTATGCTGCTAGATTTTGTTGGAGCTCTTGGCTTGTTTTTCTTGACCTGATTCACTCCACACGTTCTTGCGATTTCTCTTTGTGACATAGGAGTGTGTTCACTTAACGTAATCATTTTTCACGCTTCGTATGCGTAATATCCATGATGAAATTAAACGCAACAAACTCACTAATTACTGAAAACGACACAAAATAAAACCACACAAATTTAGTGAGAATTGTCCTAAAACATACTCAAATAAAAGAGAAAAGCAAGGTTATGTTTTCAATCCTTGATCAGTTCTGTGAATATAAAAAGATGTCACAATGATTCCATTAATTTGCATAATACTGTACATTTTTTATTCCATTGCAGGTGTTCCTTGAATATCTACCCTCCAGCATAGGCAGCGATAGTAACTCTGCAAGTTTGCTGTTACAAAAAACGCTGGAAACGTATTTCGAAAGATATTTTTCGAAACCGGAAAATATCGATTTGAGTAAAATCATTTATGAAAGAGGTGCTAGTGAAGCGATGAAACTTTTGGTCAGATCGTACCTCTCCCAGTTACAAATTCTGCAGTTGAGAGATGAGAGTAGCAGAGATGGCAAGAATATCAGGTAAGCATTTGCACATTTGCAAAAAAATTGTACTGTACTGTACTACTATGACTGGGAACAGGGGACGGTTCATTTATACCGTCGATAGTGACGTTACCTGGAAGGAGGTTGGCGTGGGGGTTAGAGTGGGGATTGGCGCGAACATTTCCGATAGTGGGATTTTGGTTGGAGGATAGAGGGGACGATATTTTCTTTATGAGAGGTCTCCATGTAGAAGGTACCTTTTTTCTTTCATATCTACATTTTTATTTCTTCTTTTGATTAGTGCTCCCAAATATTTGAATGTTTCAACCTCTTGTGTGAAACTGTGTGTGCATCTATTGTTAGTTCTGTCAATTGTGTCTTCATTTTCTTGCTTACGTTCATGTATTTTGTTTTATTTTTATATATTTCCAGTCGTCTTGGTTTAGCTTCGTTTTCTATTTCTTAGAAGGGTTTTCTTTAATGCCCTTTTCTGTTGCTACTATGATTATATCGTCCAGATATCCTATTATTTGTACTGTATTCTTGTGTATAGTTCCTGCGTTTGACAGATTTTTTATTATCTTGTCTACTGAAAGAATAAATAGTACCGTTGAGAGCGCATCTTCTAGTCTTACTCCAATGGAGTAAGAGCAAGAGTTTACGGTAGCTATAAAAAGTTTTTAATTCTTGTATTTCAAATATTCTAATGAAAATTTATTGTAAACATTCATATGAAAACTTCGACTAAAAACACTTCAGTGTTCTTAAACATCCAATTGTTGTTTTTACTCAGAAAAGGCAGTCCGAGATACACGAATTAGGGATGGCGGTACTATTTACAATAGATCGATACAAGTCTTAGCATATGCTGATGACATTGACATAGTAGGGCGTAGCAAGCGAGATGTTGAGCAATATCTCCTAGAATTGGAAACAGCGGCGAAACAGGTCGGTCTAGTCATCAACTAAGACAAAACCAAGTACATGTTGGTTACAAAGGATCCGATAGCAAATGAGGAACGAGAAACAGTCTTTGGAAGTCATACCTTTGGACGTGTTGACAACTTCACATACCTTGGGTCGCTATTGACTGCTACCAATAAAACAAGCGAAGAAATCAAAAGACGAATAAATCTTAAAAATAGGGCATACTATGGACTCCAAAAGCATTTCCACTCAAGAAACATTCAAAGAAAAACTAAAATTATTATATACAAAACATTGCTGAGGCCGGTCCTCACATATGGAGCAGAAACATGGACTCTAACGCAGAAAGATGAAAGACTTTTGGGAATATTTGAGCGTAAAATACTCCGCAAAATATTTGGAGCTGTAAACGACCAAGGGCAGTGGCGCAGAAGATATAATTTTGAATTGTATCAGCTCTTTGATGAGCCAGATGTCATAACGTTCATTAAAACACAGCGACTTAGATGGGCTGGACACATAATACGAATGCCAGAAAATACCATTGCTAAAAAGCTAACCACAGGAACACCTGTAGGAAAAAGAAGCAAAGGCCGACTACGAATTAGGTAGTTAGATGGAGTAGAAACCGACTTACGAATATTAAAAATCAGAAGATGGCAACATGTTGCCAAAAACCGAACAGAATGGCGACGAATCTTAGAGCAGGCCAAGATCCACAGAGGATTGTCGAGCCAAAGATGATGATGACGTTTATTTTACTCAGTCAAAATTGCCTTTCCTCTATGGTTTCATTAAGACTTGGTGAGAATCGAAGTAAATAGCGCGCTGATCAAAGTATTAAAGTTTAAGTGGAACGCTCTTAATTCCTAGAGGAATTTTTATCGCTGATATTGCGTTGTTGTGTGAATTAACATTTAAGAGACGAATTTTTCATTCTCGGTTGAGCTTTTGCAGAAACCACTTTCTGTATTTTACGTTACAATGTTTGGAATATTTTGGAAAATATGTTTCTTCCTCTATACTAGTTCCTGAAGGGGACGGCAATGTTTCAATTCCCTAAGCAGCCCTATTTTCTACCTATACAGTATAGGAAAAAGTTTATGGTCGGTATGGACCTTACGTGAGATGGAGTGAGAAACAGCTGTTTAGAAAGAGAGAGGTATATTAGGTCCGCCCTTTATATCGCCAAACATGCATGCCTGGAAAGGGGAAGTTCAACGTTGCCAAACTTATTGGATTTATTTGACCTGTTGTTTTTTTTTGCATTTGAACAATGTTCTAAGATAATCCAATTTGGGCGAAATTGATTTAAATGGCAGCACACTGTTTTTTTTATTTGGAATATGCCACAAGTTTACTTTACAATAAGTGTAATATAACATTTTGATTTCCACTTCGGAAATCGTTTTATATAAATAAAATTTATTAATGTTTCATATTTTAAGTATGATTTCCGAATTAAAAATCTAAACATCAAAATAAGCTTATTTTAAAGTCACGTTGTGCCTTATTCTCAATATGAAATAATAAACTGCATACAATAACGCCACATTAAAAAATATTCATACACAATAATTATTTGGCAACGTCGGTCTGGTTTGGCCGACCGAGTAACGAGTAGTAGAGGTGGGTCGTGATAGTTTTATCGTTAAGAGCGTAGACACAAAATTTCGTTCCAATATTTTTTAAATGCATTAATTTTTTGCGAATTCTGAGAAAACTAATAAATATTTTTGAAAAATTTAAACGCAGAATGAAACAATACATTATTACCGAGGGCCGAAAGTCCCTGAAAACTTCTATAATGTTTATTTTAATAAGTTATAGGGGTGAAAAAAAAATTAGTGTGATTTTTAATTTCAAATATCTCATTCAAAAACCTTTTTGTTATTCTAAGGGACTTTCGGCCCTCGGTAATAATGTAATCTTTTATTCTGCATTTAAATTTTTCAAAAATATTTGTTAGTTTTCTCAGGATTCCAAAAAAAAATTAATGGATTTAAAAATTAAAATTTTTGTAAACAAGTAACTATGATTGTTTAAAAGTAGTTTTAAGTAAGAGAGTACCTACATAAACAAACATAATGGCTATTATCGTTTATGTGTATATTTATTGAAGTGAAAGAAACTAATGATTTATTTATTATAACTTGAAAAATAAACTAAACAATACAAATAGTAACTCGTACTTACATTTACATTACACGTTATTATTAAATCGCGAATAGTCTAAATTGACATTCAAAAATAAGTTTTTCAACTTTACTTCTTATTAACCGTCTTCTTTTTTTTTCAAATTAAACCAGATTTTGAACATGTGTTCACATTTACAATACTAATAGTGGTTAAGTTAGAATATACATGGCGATGGTTTTTCCACCGTTGTAATGGACTCTCGATTCAGGTGTACGTGTAGATGAGCTATCTCCAATTAATTGATCAAAAATACACCATGGATTTAAGTCATCTTTATTGGTTTCTTTTTCTTGTACTGGTTGATTTTCAATAGTACAATCTTCTTGTTCGTTAATTATAGAAGTAACCAGCTTCTTAACTTTTTCTTTAATTTTTTTATCTTCATTTTTATCAGAAAACCCCTGCTCTTTAAATGGTAAATCCATAAATGTACATAATAACAATGTGCCACTCTGTTCTACCCCTTTAAATCTTTTTGCTAAACCCGATATTAGTAATTGTACTACGTCGGATAACAATCACTGAACTACCCTTCAAGTATTTTTGGTCACTCATTGTACTTGTTATTTCTTTAAACGGCCGTAAAATTTGGGAAAGCTGAGAACAAATAATCCAGTGTTATTTACTTAGATTTGGTCTAAGTCTAAGTCTGTATTATTTAATACCGATGAGGAACGGATTGCCTCTTCTAACTCGCTAATTTTTTTTTTAACATGTAGTAGGTGAAGTTCTACCTAGTTTCCACGTCTTGGCCGTTTTGGCACGGATTGGCCGTTTGGGAACTTTTTATGTTGTAATTATTACTTTAAAAGTCTTTCTGAAGATAATGTACTTTTTTTTAAATGTGTTTTTTGCAGAATTGTCGAAAATAGGATTTTTTATTTTATCTATTATCAAATCAGTTTTGACATAACATTCCTGAAGTAATGAACCTGACAGTTTTTCTTGTTGGCAGTTTATATCCAGGAATCTACCCTGCAAACTTTTTAAAAGCTGGTTCTTCACCTATGGAAAACGGATGAAACGAGTCTTTGCATAAGTTTAGTAAATCTTGAAAATCAACCAGTACAAGAAAAAGAAACTGATAAAGATGACTTAAGTCCATGGTGTATTTTTGATGAATTAATTGGATGTGACTCATCTAAACATACACCTGTATCGAGAGATAGAAAAGAAGTCGACATGTATTTGTCTGATGATATATTACCCACAAAAAATTTCGAACGGAGATTGGAACTGTCCATTACCGTGGTGGAAAAACTATCGTCATGTATATCCTAACTTAACCACTATATTCATAAAATATTGTAGTATTGTAACAAAATCTTTTCCTTGTGAACACATGTTTAAAATCTGGTTTAATTTTAAATAAAAGAAGAACACAGTTAACAAGAAAAGTGGAAAAACTTGTTTTTAAATGTCAATTTAGACGATTCGCGATTTAATAATGTGTAATGTAAATGTAAGCACTATTTGTATTGTTTAATTTGTTTTGCAAGTTATAAGAAATATATCCTTCGTTAGGTTCTTTCACTTCAATACTTATACACATAAATGATAATAGCCAATATTATGTTTGTGTACTCGCTAATTTGAATACTGGTAAACAATCAACTAGTTACAGTTTACGAAAAACGGTTCCGATAAAAATTTAAAAAACGAGAGGACCCACCTCTAGTTTTTTAGGTATATTAGGATCGGAACCAGAGAATATGTAAAATATCTCTTATCGAAACTGTTCGTCTCACGAATGAGCAATGAGAGTTAAAAATATTTATGGAGGGGAGACCAAGGGGAAATATGATTGTTATCTTTGTCTATTTGCTGAAAATATGATTTTATATCTGCGTTAGATATCCTGTTAAATTTTACCATACCGACCATAAACTTTTACCTACACTGTATACTGTTTCACAAATGCTTATTTCGAATAATAAACTTGTCTAAAAGGTAATAGTACCGCATTAATAAACGTTGCTAATGGTTTCTAGTTCAAACAAGCCTGACGAGAAAGACATATTCGAGGATGAAAACGACGATACCAACAAGGATCGCCATCAAGAAAAACTGGGGTACAATAGAATAAATAAAACCTACTTCGAGGAACAAGAAAAGAAACCAAAGGACTGTTACCTGTTTTCCAGTCTACGTTGGAAATATTTAGATAGAATGCCTCCTTTTCAAATTGAAATCAATTCCAAGCTGTACGAAGCTTGCATCGAAAATTATCCTGTCAAAGAGGAATGGCCGATAAATGAAGAAGCTGATGTTATATTAAAGAAGTTGCAGGCTTTACTGTGCAGCCAAGTAGTACCGAAGCAAGTTATATCTGAGGTAAGTAGCTCTTATTAATGAAGACGGAAAAAATTGCAGAATTGATACTAAGGGCCGGTTTCACCAACGACAAATAGCAGTCTATTCAATGAATAAAATTATTCGACCAATAAAACTGACATATCTGCGTTTCACCAACGTCAAATAAGACTTATTCTATGAATAAACTCCAAATAAGTTATTAGTCCAATATCGGCTAAATAAATATTTATTCTTCGAATAAGTTGACAGCTAACCTCAATTTAAATATCAATAATAAAAAAAATCATTAGTTTAACTTGAAATTATCAACAATGTATTGCAGGTAAACGTAATTATTTCAGACAATTTAATATTGTATACATATATATTTATTTTCGAATATTATCTTCATCATCATCATCCTCTGATGAAGGAAATGAGCAGCGCAGGAGAAGACCACGCTGGCAGCTGCAAAGAAGAAATCCTTTTGCTGAATTTGATGATGTGGACTTTAAAACTAGGTTTAGATTATCAAAAATTCAGTAGATAATTATTAAATTTGATCGGTAACCAATTGCATCCTGTAAGCAACAAAAATAGACCCATAGATGTGCGAAATCATTTGTTAATTGCTCTTCGTTTTTATGCAACAGGATCGTTTCAAATATGTATTGACCATTGGCATTGACAATTATTATTTTTACAAATTAATCAACCAATATCAAAAATCAATCTATAATTATATATTCCTATCTTATCTACTATAACACAAACTTACAAATTATTCTCTTTTTTTACACCTGGGTTCTCTATCATCCGTTGGTAAAAAAAAGGAAAAAGAGGAACTTGGACAGTCCACAGTAAAGTAGCTATTGAATTAAGTAGATAGCTGCAGAAGAGTTTGCTGTGGATCTCTGAGGACCTCATCAAAAAAGACTATGCAGAAAAAGACTGGTTGCTACCCCCAAGCGAGAAAAGTTTTATCCTGTGTTGAATAGACTTTCCTATACTAACTGTTTGGCCCAAGAAGAAGAAGTTTCGAAATAGTGTTCATTCAATATAAAATAATTTCAATTTAGTGTTAGCTGGGCAAATTATCCCCTGGGATATTACCCCATAAAGGAAGAAGAAGAATATTATAGGTTATGTATATGATTACAGTGAAAAATAGTGCGATGTGCCTGGCTAAACACCTAAGAGGTGGAGGCCAAGAGAGGTGTCAACGAGTACAGTCTGTGGAAAATCATTACACTTTGAACTTATTCGACGAATAACTAACTGTGGATTACAAATAGTTATTGAAACGGAATAAACTTTATTCTACTAATAAATTTTATTCGACGATTAAATATTCAGTGATTTATTTGTTGTTGGTGAAACCGGCCCTAAATAATTAAAAAAAAATACTTGCTATTTCAACCAGAGCTGGGCTGACTCAAAAAAAGCACCAAACTTAACTCAACTAGTCTTTATATCTATAGGAGGGGAGAACTGTTTGTCTCAAGTTGGTTCTTGAGACAAACAGTTCTCCCCTCCTCAACCTATTTCATTAGAGACTATAAATTTGTAAACCTAAGCCACAGAATAATAAACAAACAGAATACCCACTCTCCACGGAAAATTAAGTACGCGCATCTCCTCCGCGCAGACGTTCCGCCATGTTTTAGGAGGATTTTAAAGAAATTAGTGTTGTTTATGTGGTGTGTATGGAAAAATTAACCAGGTTTATTTGACTTACGGCAATCATAGACATACTATACAATTATATTAACATTGTTAAATATAATAACATAAATATAATATAATTAAACATAAATATAAACAATTACATAACCACACAAATCATATGTCTGTGTCCTCCTAAAACATGGCGCGCGTGCTGAAAAACTTCAAAGGCGGCATCTGAGAGTGGCCCTTCTGATTGCTTATTATTCTGTGCCTAAGCCAAAATAGATCACTTGAGAAAGGCAATCGGCCGAAACTGCTGTAGTGATAATATTTAAAATAAATTTTGTGAAAGTTTGAAAACAAAGTTTTCAGTGTTTTATTGTTACATAAAATGAATTTCCATCAAGTAACGGTCGAATCCATCAATTATCTGTTTGTATTTGTATCATGGTTGTTATCTGTATAGTTTGTCCACTCAGCTTGGGAATATTTTCGTAGATTCACTCGCCGAGTTCTTTGTCATCTTTTAAATTGTTACAAGAAAATTATAAGAAATAATATTATTAAAGTATGTTTTACAGGTTAATGGATATCTCTCTGTCAACGAAACATTAAGAGGGAACATAAGTCTGCAGTCTATAACGATGTTAACAAATGATGCCACCTTACTGCTGATAGATACTTGTCCTCAGTGTCTCCTACAGTTCGGCAAGGTTAGTAAAGTTCGTGCTTTATATTTTTTGATCTCTCATCTGATATATTCTTCCATTTAAATTTATAGGCACTCATTTTCTAATGTTTCCTTCTTGTTATACTTGGAATTTAGCAATTTGTTAAATTTTAGGATAGATTTACTAGAACAGACGAATGGAAGTTTCTGGTAGCGACAGTACAAAGAAGAATACTAAGAATTTCACAGAACGAGAAACTGAAAAGGGTGTGTTACTTCCATAAGAGAATTTTAAAAGGTTTGTTTAATTTTTAAATGTATTCAGTATTTATTTGTAGTTCTATTCATAACTTATTTTCAGTGACCCGTTTATTTTTGATACATGTACTAGACACAATTAACAGATGTAAAAAACTGTATATCAGCGATTATTTCTCAAAGAAAACGCACATACTGCATCATACAAATGTATTTATATAATCAGAAAGCATATTTACTTACAGATATTTTATTGTTTGGCATTTAACCACATCCACTCTTTAACCAATAAAATCGTGTGAACATTCGAGTTAAAACCTGTCGTTCCATGTGCGAACGATATCTTAATGCTGTCTAATTGCGGTATATCAAAGTATCAAATATCTCTACAAAATTGGTAAAACAGAAACACCGATATGTGAATGCGGAACCATTGGAACAATGATCCATATCTTCTTTGAATGTCCCATAAACAAACACTAAAATATGGATCTGTATTTAAAACTATTAAAAGCAGGAATATAGAGTCCAATATCTTTACATAGTATTCTATATAAACCCTCTGACAAAGTTATAAAAATAATTAATAAATTCATCAATTTTTTTCAAATCGATATATATAAAAAAAATTTTTTTACTTGTCATCCTAACCGAAGGTAACATTACCCCTAAACCTAATGTGACAATATTTGGAAGCTACCCCCAATCAAGAAAAGTCTAATCAAGAAGAAATGAATGAAATGAAATGATGAAATAAACAAATGGAAAAGGTGATCTTTCAGTATCACCCAATTGTCAATTAGCAGTAAAAAGAAGTAGGAATTTATCCCTGGTTGTGCATTGCCTAGAGCAAGCTAAAAAAATAGCTCACAAGGATTTTAAAGCATCAGGCAACTCATATGATGAATTTTCGGTGTTAAGGGAAAGATGTAAAGCATTACAAGCAGTATGTTATAAGAACTATTTAGAGAATATTCAAACAAATCTTTCAAGTAATCCCAACTCTTTTTGGAGGTATGTTAGTACTACACGTGGGTCTAGTGCTTATCCTAATGTAATGTCTAATAAAGGTGGGGATGTAATAGCTCAGAATGGTGATGAAATAGTCAATTTATTTGCCAGCTATTTTTCAGGTAGATATAATGATAGTGAGTGTAATGTACCTAATTTTAAATTGGACTATAATGTGGATTTCCTGAGTCTGAAGTTTAGTCTGACTGATGTTTTCGAGGGGATTAGCAGTTTAAAAACTACATATTCTTCAGGGCCTGATGGTATACCTGCAGTACTTATTAAGAACTGTATTTTTTCCCTTTGTAAACCTTTACAACAAATTTTCAATTTATCGTTGTCATCTGTATTTCCACAATATTGGAAAAATAGTTTTCTTACACCTATCTATAAATCTGGCAATCGCGAGTTTGTTAACAATTATAGAGGTATAACTATTAAATCAGCAATCCCGAAACTTCTTGTTGGGTGCATTTCAGAATAAAATTCAGGTTGACAGCGTTTACACTGATTTCTCAAAGGCCTTTGACCAGGTTAATCATAATCTTTTGGTCCACAAATTTCATGCATCTGGCTTGGTGACACCATTGTTAATTGGATTAAAAGTTTTCTGATAGGACGTACACAGCAAGTTCATATTAACAATTATATTTCAAAAGAATTTTATTGTTATTCTGGTGTACCACAAGGGTCTCATTGTGGTCCCTTGTTTTTTAACTTGTTCATTAACGATATTGGTAAGGCTATAAAAAACTCACACTTCCTGCTATTTACTGATGATCTTAAGATATTTCGTTGTATACATAATAAATCGGGTAGCGATCTCCTGCAAGATGATGTAAACAACATATGTTTATGGTCAAAACAAAATGGTTTAAGCTTAAATTCAACTAAATGTTCTTGTATTTCATTTGGTCGTATAAATAATCTAATGGCTAATAGATATATTCTTAATGATATTCTCTTGGATTGAGTTACTGAGATTAGAGATTTGGGTGTATTATTGGATTGTGCATTGACATTTAGAAGCCATTTTCTTAAAATTAAGGAAACAGGATTTCGTAATCTTGGTTTTATTTATCGCAACAGTCATGATCTCTCACCTATTGTATTCAAATTATTGTATTGCTCTCTGGTACGCTCAGGTCTTGAATACTGCTCTGTTGTCTGGTCCCCGTTTCATCAAGTATACATTGATGGATTGGAGAGCGTTCAGAGGAAGTTTCTAAGATCTTTAGCTTTTAAAGCCCATATTAATATAAAAAATACTGAAAATTATTTCATAGATTATTCTATAATAATGTCTAATTTTAACATTGATACATTGAAGAACCGCAGGTTGAGAGCTGATATGTTATTTTTGTTTAAAATTCTGAACAATGTTAATAATTGTCCCTCGTTATTGGCCAATTTACACTTAAACACAATGCATAGAACTCGACACACTGCACTCTTTCATATTCCTTTTCATAGGACTGATTATGCTCGTCATTTTCCCCTGTCAAGAATGCTTTTAATGCTTTTAAAAGGTAACTTAAGAATCTGACTATTAATCTAGATATGTGACACTTACTATGTGATACTGATACTTTTTTAAAATTTTTGTGATAATATATTGTTTTAATTGTACAAATTTTAACTGTTTACTTGTTTCTTTGTTATTGTTTTGATGTTTATTGTACATGATCTTTACTTTTTACTATTTTTTGTATTTTATTGTAAATGGTTCTACCGTTGGAATGAATAAATAATAAATAAATAACCTTACATGTACTGGGTAAATGATTATATAATTGAAACTCAAAAAAAAATGAAGAAGAAGAAGGAATATCAAAGTCGTACGTGTAGGATAGGCGTGGTAAACTTTTTTTTAGTCTGATATTTCTTTGGCTTATTTTGGAGTATTTTATCAGGCTAGATTATTGTAACAACGGCTTTGCACAAGCCTGGATTAATCTCTCAGCTACCCAAGTATGTTTTTTACAGTACTTGGAACGATTTCGTAAAGTTTATGCGCTTTTTTAATATAAAACCTTTTCGAGAGATAGATAGTAAATACACAATTAAAGAGTTTCCAATTAAAGAGAGAAAAATTAAAATAAATTCCATCATATACATGAAAGTCCTAATAATCTTCAAAATAGTCTATTAGCAAAATGGATAATCTTTTACAAATTTCAACATTAATTAATCTTATGTTTTATATTTCTAGATATTTTGACTTACGTCGCCTCCAACATGACCTTGGATCAGCTGGTTCAAGTATTTCCACAACGATTCAGCACCAACAACCAAGAATCGTCCGAATTATCTCCCAAATCGAGACTTTCCATCGATAAATCGGAAATTCTTACAACGGACGACGATATAACGGATACTCTAAAGGAAATTCAAAACTACGAACCCTACATCGTTATTTGCAAAGAAACAATGCACGCTAATCAAATTAATAAATTAATAACTACCACAGGTCAACAATTACTATGTACGTTGAATCTTTAAGTACACCAAATTTGGTCAGATAGATAATTTCTTGATAATTTTCGATAAGACAGGTCGACAAAATTTGACCAATATTCACACCCAAAAATCAAAATATAGTTTGCAGAAGTTTTTTGTGCGCTGAATCCAAATCGCAGCTCAAAATTGGTTCTGGTTTCTGAAATCCTAACATAAAAGTGCAAAAATAGCGGTTTTTGGTCGTTTTTGAGGTTATGTACCATCGTAATATAATTTTTCTTTCAGAAACTGTTATAACCATCTTAAAATATGTCTTAGTCTCTTAAATGACGTTAAGTTTAGTCAGATATCTTCTTTTTCGCTGAGATGTAGCATTTTAAAATTTTTTAGTTTAAAAAAACCTAAAAAACATGATTATAATCAAAATTTGACCAATATTAGGACTCAGAGATCAGAATATACATTCAAAAAAGTTTCTTTATGAGCTGCATGCGAATCTGAGCTCTAAATTGCCAAAATGGCTTTGGTTTCTGAGTTATCCTAACCTAAAAGTGCAAAAATAGCGATTTTTGGTCGTTTTTGAGGTTATGTACGAGAGAGAATGAATCATTCTCGAGAGAGAATGAATTATTCTCTCTCCGATTGCCGACAAGAATGTAGAGCGTTAGAATAATTTTAATAATTTTAAACTGTTTGTCCTTTTGTTAATGTAGTGTTATGTACAATTTATGTCCACTCTCATGTGTATTACATTCTACGCTTGCTGGATAGCCAAAATTTAACGAAATACCCCTGATGATGCTGTAGATGGCGAAAGTACTTGGGTAAGATTCGATAAATCTTGTGCTCGATATTTGCCTTAATTTTTTCAAAGTTCATTTATTCGAGCATTCAACTTCATATCAATCAAGATTATAGTTAGTTCGTACTTTCTTCACTGAGTCTCTCTCGAAGAAACAAAATTCTTAAGTGAGTACCCAGGTAATAGTGTACCTGCTACTTAGTTGCAGCTTACCGTGATCAACAGCAAATTGCACATTCACAACACGTTTACACTTACGCAGATAAATATTCTACTACAAGCCACTCTACCATAGTTGACCTGTACTCGAAAATATATGAAATTTTTGTAGGTTCTTTTCGACATTAAATTAACGGGAACAACTTACTAAATAAATGACTAAATTACTGAATGTTGGATTTTTAAAAACAGATTTGCTCTTGAACAAAGCTCTTGACTGAATTAATAACGAGGAACCAAAGTTTTATAATTTATTTATTTGGAACATTTTGAGATTTAGCATTTATACAACTATTCTGTTAATTCTGTGTTTGTTAATGGTTGTTTTAAAAGAAGGTCATTAAGAAGGTATTTATAATTTTTTCTTCGGCCTTGAAGGAAGTTCAATTCCAAAGTTACATGAATATTTTTGCATTCTGTAGGTATAAAAAGTAGATAGGCTATAGGTCTTTGAGACCACCCCTAAATTGCAACCCCTAAAATCGCAACCCCCGGTCGTAAGTTCCAAACGGCTTAACGTAGGATGACGTACGAGGGCTCGTTGGAAAGGGGATGAAAAATGGAGTTGAATGCAGTCTGTGCCATGCGCATCGGAGCATGCCAAAAGGTCATTATGGGGTATCTTCGTTTCTATTGGTCCGATGGGGGCGTACGAGGGCTCGTTGGAACGGGGAGAAGGCGGGAGACAAAAAACAAAGATGGCGGCGTTGCCAAATGAGCGCTAAAACGTATCTTCGTTGCTATTGGTCGGATTTTGACGTATGGGGTGTCAAAGCGTTGGATGTCACGTGACATTTGACGCAGGACGTGACATTTATGTGACATATGACATAGATCGTAAAATGTCACGTGAATTGACGTGACATTCGACGCAGAACGTGAAAATGTTGCGTGAATAACGTGACATTCGACGCAGGACGTGACATATACGTGACATTTGACGCAGAACGTGAAATGTAGGAATTACGTGACGTGAGACGTTTTGACGGAACAGTTATGTGTCAGTCAAGACATCGCTTGACATAAAACGTGACATTCAACATAGGACATATTCAGTAGTACTATGAATTCCATCGAGTACATACATAGGGTTATGGAATTTCAACGTAAACTTGATCAGTTAAATAGAGACATTAAATCATATGAGAATATAAAACAAATTAAAAGACAATTAGATAGCCTGCATATTGAGGACAAAACGTGGAAACCAAAAGAGTTGAATCTACAGCAGCAGCAGCAACAGCAAGACACCTGGATTTACGCCTGCAGAAAACTGCCACCAGCTTCATATCCATTGAGACGTATTCAACCAATACCATGGACGTTAGCAACAACACCAGCGAGCATATGAAAAGTGAAATAGACAATGTCTTTGCAATGTCTTGTGTAATATTAGCATCTGTATTTATCCTAATTTTAAAAATTATTTTCGAAATTGTAAGGAGAAAATTTGAATCTTCTTGTAATATAAGACTCGATCAATAAAGATGTGATAAATAAAAAAGCGTTTAATTTCTAATATATTTATTTATACATAAAATTACAATGGCATTATGGTATTGGCAATCCCCGTCTCCTCCCCGTTCCATCGAGCCTTCGTACGTCACAATCGGACCAATAGAAACAAAGATACCCCATAATGTCCTTTTGGCATGCTCCGATGCGCACGGCACATACTGCATTCAACCCCATTTTTCATCCCCTTTCCAACGAGCCCTCGTACGTCATCCTACGTTTAGCCGTTTGGAACTTACGACCGGGGGTTGCGATTTTAGGGGTTGCGATTTAGGGGTTGTGCTCAGACATAGGTAGTCTATCTACTATAAAAACATAACACATAAGTTTATTTATTTGTTTTAAAAGTAAACAAGAGTTTTTCGTAATCAAAAGTAAGTTACATATATTACCATCGATAAATTTTTAGCTGTAATATAATTTATGTCTAACAGCAATTCCATTACACGTCTCGTCATTGAGATTTCTATGTTGTTACAGTACCGATAACTACTGTTATTCCTTTACGATGAAGTTCCAGAGACAAATATGAATAATTGATGTTTCCTATAAGATTAATACTTAAAAAATTATAATTTATATTAAATAGCGTTTAACCAGCAGTGCGCCAATGGATTTCTAATTTAAAAAGAGCAAATGACGGTTTAAACTTTGTTGACTGTTATAGAGTTGCCATATTTAGTAGATTGTTCAATTTCAATAAGTTTTGTCATTTGATCCTATGAAAAAACAAGATTGTATGACTTAAAATACATTTTATTATTTAATATAATCTCCCCTAATTTCAGTACAGTCGTCCCAGTAATCCTACAATTTAGGAATGCCATCTCTGAAATAAGAATGTATAAGACTGTCAAAATACGTTTCCATCGCTGATATTAATTCTTTTTTCGATAAAAATTGTTTCTCGTGAATATTTTTTGATGTTTGAAAATAGCAATAAGGCATAGAGAGTTAAATCTGGTAAATAGGATGGATTTTGCAATATCTATTTCCAATTCATCGATTTTGAGCTTTTCTCATTGAAAACATTTTTTTGTCTTGTAAACCACGTTTTCCTCACGAGTTTTTACATTCAGCCGATACAAAAGGCTACAATAATAATCCGGGTGACAAGTTTGGAGGTATTCCTCGAACCAAATTCTTTTTGCGTACGAAAACACTGGTACTAACACCTCATTGGCTCATTTATGTACCCTAAATTCAATAGACAATCAAAATACCAACTTTACACCGCTCCTTAGCTGCTTGGTTTTATTTAGGATCATGGTATTCCATGCATAGTTCCAGTTGCCGCTCATTCCATTAATCCTACAATTTAGAAATTGTCAACATTCTTTTTTTTTATATAAAAATCATTTTCCGTGCATGTTTTTTGATATGTGAAAATAGCCAGAAGTCGAGAGGGTTAAATCTGGTAAATAGGAAGGATGTTGCAACATCCACCTCTAACTCACTGATTCCCGCACAGCTTTTTGAGTTTGATATATTGTTTTGTTAAAAACATTTTTTTGTAGACCAGGTTTTCCACACGAGTTTTTTACATCAAGCTAATCCAAAAGGTTACAATAATATTCTCGGTCTGTTGTTTTACCAGTTTGAAGATGATTCGCGAGCATTCCAAAACACTTTTTTGGTATATTTATTTACTCTAACTCGATACAGAACCGAAATACCTAGTTCACTTTGCTCCTTACCATCTTATTTTTTTTTGGGACCACGGTATTCCAGCCATAGCGATGAAATCGTGCGTTCAATACACTGGTTCCAGTAACCCTATAATTTAGGAATCCCATCTCTGAAATGAGAATTAGGAGCTCTGTCAAAATACGTTTCTATCGCTGATACCGATGAGGAAAATCGTTTCCCATGAATGTTTTTGAGATGTGAAAATAGCCAGAAGTCAGAGAGGGTTAAATCTGGAAAATAGACTATGTTGTTTTATTCGCCTCAGTTAAAGCTTACAGTAATAAGCTGGGTTTGGTCTTTTACAAATTTGAAGGTAATTCACGAGTATAATTCATTTTGTATCCCAAAAAACTGGTGCTGACAGTTTTATAACTTAACCTTATAATAACTTAACCTTTTCATTATTTCACAATTTCTTACTTTCTTTATTATTTTATAAAAATTGGACTATTCATCCAAGCACTCTTTTGCGAAGTATAAACGATAGACATTGCATTCATATTAACGTGTTTAAAACAACGTGATTTCTTGCTTTTACCAATGACAAGCATGGCAATCGATGGCTGCCAGTAGCATTAGCACAAGCTAAGTCAGTGCTACGATCCTTGTTTATTTTAGATCCAGGTGCTACTAATTCACGCCGTGACGCAAGAGTTTTTCATGGCAAAGTTTTCTAGTCGAGCTCAGTTTCGTCTGCATTGTAAACGTTTTCGAGTGCGTAATTTTCTTTCTTTAGTAATTCACTTAGTCTTATTTTGAATGACTCTGCTGCTGATGAATCAGTAGATAGCTTTTCTCTTTGTATTTGAAGCTCACGAATGCCATGTCTCGACTTAAATCGTTTTAACTAGTCTGTGCTTGCTTGAAAATTTGACGAACCCCGTCAGTTTTTCATTGAACTGAACTGCTTTTTCACACAGAATCTAACCAGAAATAGGTTCTCCCACTCCCTTGGGCCTTTTTTGAGTAAACCACTTACAGCATCATCTACATCCGTGAATCATCAGAAGAATCAAGCTGTGACATAAAGTTACTTATGCTCGTCTTTTGTTTTTTATATCTGTAAT